TGAATACTGTCTACACATAGAATTCAAGCTTTTGCAGATAATCTGATCCAGCAGTAGAAGGAGGTGAAGAGCCAGTAAAATGAATGCCTTGAACATCAGCATATTTGGTCCCAGTCCTATAGATATATTTTATCCTCATAAATGTATTTGTATGAATCCAAGAAAAAAGAATCTTTAGAGAAAAACATGGAAAAACAACAAGGACAGACCAGCTTCTACCAAGAAGAAGATTCTCAGATGAGCATTCAGCATATATGAAATAACCCACATCTGGTAGAACAGGTTAGTTCAAGTAAGAATAGATAAGGTTGCCACCTGTGATGAGTCTTTATAGATATTTTCATGGCACAAACAGCTATACTGATTTTCTTCCTAGTTCACTAATTGGTGCCTAATAAAAATCATGCACTTATTATAGTAATTTTGCTATTACAGGGCAGAGAGCTAATGCCCATCCCCAACTTTTTTACTGAAGCAGAGGAAAAACAACAAAACCTGCTTACATGATTCATAATCCCAGTATAGATAAGCTCAGATTCAGTGAGGAATAGTGGTTTGAGCATTGGACTACAACTCTGGAGACCAGGGTTCAAATCCCTGCTCAGCCATGGAAGCCCACTGGGTGACCTTGGGTAGGTTGCATTGCTTCAGCCTCAGGAGGAGGCAAAGGCAAACCCTCTCTAAACAAATCTTGCCAGGAAAACCCTGTGATAAGTCTGCTTTAGGGTTGCCATAAATTGGAAATGACTTGAAGGCATACAGCAACAACAATAGATAAAGATTAATACAGGTTTTCCCTGGACTTTTTGATCATGAGTACGACTCTGGCACCATTTTGGAACACAAAGTGGCACCCGAGTAGTGCTTAAGCGCCTGTGACTCTGGACGCAATTTTGGAAGACAAAATGGTGTCAGGTGGTGGGCGTGAGTGGCAGTGCCAATGGTCGGGTGTGAGCAGTGGTGGCAGTGGCAGCAGCTGGCTGGTAGGAAGGCCTTGGCGGGCTGGGTCTGGCCCACGGGCTGTAGTTTGTGGACCCCGGGTCAATAGAATAAAGGCATGTAGTGCGGTGTTATCAGTTCGCTGATGACAAACAGATATACTTCTCCATGACCCAGTTGTCAGCTCAGACTTCAGACTGAATCCAGACAAAACGGAGGTACTAACAGTCGCAGGCCCGAAACCAGGACTGGGAATACAACTTCCAGTCCTGGATGGAGTCACACTCTCTTCCAAGGACTGTGTTCACAGTCTGGGGGTACTCTTAGATTAGTCGCTTCACATGATTAATCAGGTGAATGCAACGGTCAGGAATGCGTGTTATCAGTTTTTGCTGATATGCCAGCTGTGCCCTTTCCTGGAGATTAGGGATCTTGAAACTGTGGTACATGCTCTGGTAACCTCATGCCTGGATTTCTGTAATGCACTCTACATGGGGCTCCCCTTGTGCTTAACTTGGAAACTTCAATTGGATCAGAATATGGCAGCTATGCTGGTTACTGGAACATTTAGGAGAGAGCACATAACACCTGTGCTGAAATCTCTCCACTGGCTGCTGATTAATTTCCAGGCACAGTACAAGTTATTGGTTTTGACCTTTAAAGCCCTACATGGCTTGGCTCCAACTTATCTCTGGGACCGCCTCTCCCCGTATGATCCCCCCCACGTGCTCCAGTCCTCTGGGAGGAACTTGCTACAGCCTATGAAAACGAGGCTGTCGTTGACCTCCCAGAGGGCTTTCTCTGCGACCGCTCCCATATTATGGAGTGGCCTGCCGGATGAGATCCATCTTATTACCACTCTTGACTGGTTTAAAAAAGCAGTAAAGATGGATCTTTTCTGGCAGGGCTTCCCAAAATAATTGTCCCAGCCCAAAACAGACAAGTCTTGGCTACTCGCTCCCCCAGCCACCACTGTTTGTTCTAAGGTTTTTAATTATATGTGTTTAATTTTATCCTTTCTATTTTAATTTTAATTTAATAAAAATTATTTTAATTTAATTTTAGTTTCAATGAAGCCAAGCTGATCATCTTCAGCATGTTGGTGTTTTGTACTGTTTGGGTCTCTTTTGTCCCTACCTACCTAAGTACCAAAGGGTAATACATGGTGGCTGTGGAGATCATCTCCATCTTGGCTTCCAGTCCTGTTTTACTGGGTTGCATCTTCCTCCCCAAAAGCTATTTTATAATTCTGAGACCTGAATTGAACAGCAGAGAGCAATTAGTAAGAAAAAAAGAACAATGACCTTCACATTTATGTCTTACTATTCCTTGACCCACTTTCCATTGTTGTATTCCTTATTTTGGAGGTGGAGGCACACTGAAGAATTAAAGTAGCTTGACACCACTTTATTTTATTTTATTTTATTAAAAAAATTGCTTCACTTACAAATATATAGCAAACATTTTATACTTTCATACAAAACAAACATCAAAAAGACAAATAAACCTTATTATCTTATCTATAATCTCATTCTTCCTTCAATCATTATCTTATCGTACAATCCATTGTTTTGCTCCTATAAACTTCTGACTAACATGACTTGAGCTCTATAGTACAATTTAATTCTTTCTATATGATATTTAATAGAACTCCATCTTAAGATCTAACCTATTCCATTTCATTGTCTAGATGGATTTAATCTCAGTTATGATCATTTTTCCTTGTAATATTGCATCAAAAGCTTTCAATCATTATCCCATCCTCTTTTATAGGTATTATTCACGCACATTGTCAGCTTATCTAACCCCATTATGTCTACACATTTGATTAACCAGTCATTGATTATCGGACTATTTTTCTCTTTCCATTTTTGTGCATATATTATTTTAGCTGCAGTGACTGCACATAGAATACATTTTAGATGTTTCCTATCATTTTCTCCTTCCACCATATTTAACAAGAAATATTCTGGTGTCATTCTTATGGATATCTGTAATATTATTTGTAACGACTCATGTACTTCTTTCCAAAATTTCATTGCAATCGGGCAAGTCCACCAAAGATGATATAATGATCCTTCACTTGTCTCACATTTCCAGCATTTCCCTGATTCATAACCTCTGGATTTCACCAGTTTGTTAGGTGACAGATACCACCGTTGCAGCATCTTTTAAAAATTTTCTTTTAGATCCATACACAATGTAAATTTTACGTTTTGATTCTAAGCCCTTTCCCCTTTATCCATTTGGATCTGGTAACTAAAATTCTGAGACCATCTTATCATACTATTTTGATCAGTTCTGTTTCTAGTTCAGTTTTTAGCAACTCCTTATATATTTTGTCTATAACTCCTTTTGTTGATACTGTCAGTGCCTCATCTATCTCATTCATACCTCTCTTAAACCCTTCTAGTTTAAGGTCTATTTTAAATCTTTCCATTAACTGATGATGTGTGAACCAGTGACATTCAAATTCCTCCATCTCCTTACAATCCCTCATTCTCAGTGTTCTCCCTTCCCAGTAAAGGATTTGGTGATCTCTCAAATACTCATTTGGTTACATTTTGTAACCTTGACACCACTTTAACTTCCATGAGTCTGTCTTTGGAATCCTGGGATCTGTAGTTTGGTGAGGTAACAAACTCTTACAAACCAGGCTGAATCCTAAAGAAACTACAAATCCCAGGCTACCTGCTTCAATTTCAGTGACTTACATCTTCTCAACAAAAGACCTATATCCATTGACTATATGTTTATATGTTTGTAGCAGCTCCTTCAGTCTTTGGAGCTGAACAAACTCAACATGGGATTCTCATGGGAAGAGACAGAAAAAGATTATCTCTTTAGAGCATATACTGCAATAAGTGCAAACTTGTTACTCCGGTGGAAGACAAGGTACAACTGCTTGAGGCCCACATGTCTATACTGAAATATATCAGGGAATATGAGACTTTTTTGGACAGCACCAAGGAGACTCTTCTGGAAGACAATACCAAGAGGATGCTTCTTAAGTTGCAAGGCATTTTAAATTTTTTACTCATGGCATGTGTCATCTTTAACCCCAACCAGGTGATGTACACTAGATTAACACATTTAAACCATTAGATACATAACTAAGGGGATTACTACACATGGCTTTTAAAAGATGATTATAGTAATAAAATGGTGCCATTGGTGATACTTACAGCGCAATGTCACCTTCAACCCATTGCTTGTGTGCGTTCAGGGCATCTTTTTGCATGAATGGAGGGAACCTGTCAATAGCTCCCAACTGTGTTGCAAAGATTGACAGCCCCGTGGTGTCACAGTCTCCTCCTCTCTCCTTGTCCCCCATCCCCCTCACTGTTCCAAAGCAATCTGATTCACTTTTTTTTTGTATTTCTTTTCTTTTTTAAAAAACTGGAATCACATCCCTTGAACTGTGGAATTGTGTTTTAAAAAGTAAAAAGAAAAGAAAAAGAAAACTCAACAAAAGGCATGGTGGGTAGGGCAGAGGGCAGAGGCGTGGTTAAGGAGGAGTGTGGAAGAGAGCACTTTGGCAGCATCAGCCACAGCTGCATGGTTGCAAAGATGTGTGACAATGGTTGCTCATGAAACCAGTATGTTTACCTTTTCATTAATTTGTGTGATTGCAGTAAGAATGGGGCTCATGTGATAATGTCCTAAATGCAACTCACAAACACAGAAGGCAGATACGTGGAAATATGTGATACACAGTAGCTGAAAGCTAGGCTGGAAGTTTGAAGCTACAGAAGCTATGCCATGCTCTTCACTTGATTTGTGATTATAACACACATAGAAGAAAGGCAACAGTCTCAGTTCTTGAAGACTATGGAACTGGTCCTGGAGGGTTCTCTGAATGGAAGGGCTCCTCACAGTTCCCAGAGGAAGAGGCAGCAAGTGGTGGTGGTAGGCTATATCTTGCAGAAACGAATAGTAGCAGCAGTGTGAGGGTCTGATAGACAGTCTTGAAATATCTGGTGTCTTCCAAGGGTGAAGATACACAGTCCATGGTATCATATTACAGTGACCCTTGGTATCTTCTGGGGTTTGGTTCCAGGACCTCATGTGGATACCAAAATTTGTGGAGTGGCATGTGTAGTAATATAGTGGCAGAGTCAAATGGCATCCCTTATATAAAATGACAAAATCAAGATTTGTAGTTTGGAATACATATTTTTTTATGTTGTATATTTTTTGAATATTTTCAAGCCATGGATGTTTGAATCCATGGATAAAAAAAATCTGTAGATATGGAGACCAAACTGTACACTGTTATAGTGCTAATCTTCCATTTTTATCACTGCTTTGTGTTGAAAAAGACAACCCACAGAAGAAAGAAGAAAACTGGAGTGAACAACTGGCTCCACAAATGGTGCCATCAAGAAAGATTTGGCTTTGTGGAATGTTGTCTGTGTTTTCATAAAGATGGATTCCTGGCAAGATGTATGAGGTTGCCACTAAAATGGTGTTAAATTGACAAACATGTGTTCTAATTGACATCAATTTATTATTTTTCCATTTTTAAAAACTAGTTATAATAGGATAATGCAAACTTAAGGGCTGTCATGCTTTGTCTTGTGAGTGATATTTGGAAGTTACTATTATAATGTCTCAATCGCTGAGGGACAGATATGATCATGATGATCATGATGATGATGATGTGATG